AGTCTACTAGCATCGAATGCCGGCATTCTGCCCGGACGTGGAATTATCATGACGTAGGCGCCGCTCACGAGACCTCTCACACCGGGACACTGGGAATATCGGGAGAATGAAGTCGCGTACGCAACTATTTTACCATCATCGGCATCGTGAACGGCTTTTCTGCCATGGATCAAGACGGACTCTTGGCGTTAAGACCGGACTCCGCGCTAATCGGCCGATCAACAGTTCAGCGTTACTAAATCACCGTTGTTTTACCGGCGGCAGGCTCCTCGACTTTCTCTATGACATGTTCCAAGGAGCACGAGGCTCGGTTTTCAGCGTAAATCATGACCCGAGGGCGAAGAACAGGGCCGATTAGATGTGCGGGGAAGCCGGGGGCACTGGGACAGAGTATTCTTTCTCTCCGATTTGGGACGACCAGTTCCACGGCCTTGGCCCCCAGAGTCCCCTCAATTTCTGAGTGTTCGTGAAGAGATTCCCCCAAAGAGCTACTCCAACCGCCATCACGAAGAAATTTCAAAGAAAAAACCTGCGTCTAGAGTCCTCTAGTGTCGGCGCAATGTCGGACCTCCACACAAAGTCGTGTGTCCCAGTGGTCCACTCACCTTAACGGCGGGGGCGGGGGTGGCTGGGATTAGGCCGGGGGCGGTCTTCTGCTCTTTGAAAAGCCGGTACGGAGCAAGCTCTGAGTGAGGTGAGAGAGTGTTCGGACCGGGGGTTCGCTCAGGAAAACAAAAGCTTGGAGTCTCCAGGTTTTCCAGCTGTCACCCGATCCGCATCCCCCACATATTGGCTCGTGTTCCTTGTCCCGCCCACAGCGGCAGTTCTCCGGAAGTTAACTTTGAATGCTACGGTGCAAACACCGACAGTCAGGCGCGCTATTTGTGATTATTACTCCATTCTACTCCGTACTCTAGAGACTCTGCCCGTCGTCGGTAAAGCGACCCCATGTTGGCATCCAGCAGTCGGCCTGATGCGGAGTTGTCGCTGGTAGTTCTGGAAGCCGGGCGGTGAAGGATGCTGAGACCTGATGAAAGAGTCGATTGTTCTAGAGGCCCAATGACTCGATCTTCCCGCTTAACAGCTGTTCCAGCGATTCTATGACTAGTCATACCCGCCGTTAAGAGAATTACACCCCACAACCCATTTGACGATTTGTGGCCACCTCTAGTCAGACTGGAGACTCGGCAAGATTCCGCCTCCCCACGTGTATAGCAGAGCCTTTTCCGGACCTTGCCATCGTTTTGGCGACCATCTAGAGACTAAGCCTAGTGTAGTCATCGCGTGCGTCGCTGGAAAATCTACGGCTGATTACCCTGCCCAATATCCCACCACTTCGCCCCTTGGTGAGCATCTTTCGGGTGTCAACCGGTGCGGGGCCGACTTCCGGACCATGACGATGTGCATTACCGTCATGATCAGGTTTTCCTCGACTTTGTCGTTGCCCGCGCGGAGGTTACGGGGAAGAGGAGGGGTCTATCCAGGTCACCAGCGAGCAGAGTGCGAGGGCGACGAGGATATGGTGGACTGACGTTGCTGCCGACGATGAACAGGTAACATATAAAGAACGGCATGTAACCCCCAATCGATGAAATTTTAGGATCTTCAGCACAAGCCGCAAGTCAACAGCTCAAGGATCTCAAAATGTCCGCAGCTCTGTCTCTCTTCCTATCCGGTCTTCTGTTGGCACCCTCAGTCAACGCTCAGGCGTATGACTCTGGTGACCGATCTGAAGATGCCTTCAGCTGGATTCAGCCGGTGAACACCACCATCCTCGGTCCGTACGGGGATTCTGAGCCAGTCTATCCTTCCCGTAAGTTTCTCGGTTCTCTAGGTTTGGTAACAGATTAACTAACTCCACGATGAAGCCAACATCACTGGTACCGGTTGGGAGGATGCCCTCGCCAAGGCAAGGGAGTTCGTCTCACAACTGACCATCGAGGAGAAGGCCGACATGGTCACTGGCCAACCCGGTCCCTGCGTCGGAAACATCGTCGCTATCCCTCGTCTTGGTTTCCAGGGCCTCTGCCTTCAGGATGGTCCCCTGTCCATCCGTGTTGCCGACTACGCCAGTGTCTTCTCCGCCGGTGTCTCTGCTGCAGCCACCTGGGATAAAGATATCCTCTACGAGAGAGGTCTTGCCATGGGCAAGGAGTTCAAGGCCAAGGGCGCCCACATTGCTCTCAGGTTTGTCCATCTCCGTACACTCATTATGGCCGACACCTACTGACCACTCAAAGCCCCGTCGCTGGCCCCCTCGGCCGCAGTGCCTACTCCGGCAGAAACTGGGAGGGCTTCAGTCCCGACCCTTACCTGACTGGTGTCGCCATGGAAAAAACTATCACCGGTCACCAGGATGCTGGTGTCCAGGCTACTGCCAAGCACTGGATCCTCAACGAGCAGGAGACCATGCGCAACCCGACTTTCGACCCCAATGGTACCGCTACAGACATCGAGGAGCAGGCCCTCTCCTCCAACGTTGACGACAGAACCGCCCACGAGCTCTACATCTGGCCTTTCGCCAACGCTGTCAAGGCCAAGGCTTCTTCCTTCATGTGCTCTTACCAACGTATCAACGGTTCCTATGGATGCCAGAACTCCAAGTCTCTGAACGGTCTTCTGAAGACTGAGCTTGGATTTGATGGTTACGTTATGTCCGACTGGGGTGCCACCCACACCGGTGTTGCTGCCATTGAGGCCGGTCTCGATATGGATATGCCTGGCGGCATTGGCAGGTACGGCATGGACTGGAAGTCTGGATCTTTCTTCGGCGGCAACGTCACTACTGCTGTCAACAACGGTACTCTCAACGTCGCCCGCGTTGATGACATGATCGTTCGCATTATGACTCCTTACTACTGGCTCAACCAGGACAAGGACTACCCCACCGTCGACCCCTCCTCTGGCGACCTCAACACCTTCTCCCCCAGATCCACCTGGGTTCGCGAGTTTAATCTCACCGGCGAGCGCAGCCGTGATGTTCGTGAGAACCACGGTGAGCTGATCCGCAAGCACGGCGCCGCCGCCGCTGTCCTCCTCAAGAATGAGAACAAGGCTCTCCCCCTCAAGGCTCCCAAGTCCATCGCTGTCTTTGGCAACGATGCTGGCGAGGACACTCAGGGATTCTACAACCAGGCTGACTTCGAGTACGGCACTCTCGTCGCTGGTGGTGGCTCCGGCACCGGTCGTCTGACCTACCTTGTCACCCCCCTTGAAGCCATCAAGGCTCGCGCTTCCAAGGATGGTGCCCTCGTCCAGCAGTGGCTCAACAACACCCTCATCATCAACTCCAATGTCACCGACCTCTGGGTTCCCAAGGCCCCCGAGGTCTGCCTCGTCTTCCTCAAGACCTGGGCCGAGGAGGCCGCTGACCGCCAGCACTTGAGCGTCGACTGGGACGGCAACGACGTCGTCGAGAGCGTCGCCAAGGACTGCAACAACACCATTGTCGTCACCCACTCTTCCGGCATCAACGACCTCCCCTGGGCCGACCACCCCAACGTCACCGCCATCCTCGCCGCCCACTTCCCTGGCCAGGAGTCCGGTAACTCCCTCGTCGACGTCCTCTACGGCGATGTCAACCCCTCCGCCAGACTCCCCTACACCATTGCCCTGAACGGCACCGACTACAACGCCCCTCCCACCACTGGCATCAACACCACCGGCTGGTACGATTGGCAGAGTTGGTTCGACGAGAAGCTCGAGATTGACTACCGCTACTTCGACGCCCACAACATCTCTGTCCGCTACGAGTTCGGCTTCGGTCTCAGCTACACCACCTTCGAGGTCGCCGACTTTGAGGCCAGCCCCGTCGAGCAGGACATCACCTCCGCCCCTGAGCAGCGCCCTGTCGAGCCCGGTGGAAACCCCGCCCTCTGGGAGACCATCTACAACGCCACCGTCTCCATCACCAACTCTGGCGATGTCGAGGGTGCCGCCGTTCCCCAGCTTTACGTCACCTTCCCCGACTCCACGCCCGCCGGCACTCCTCCCAAGCAGCTTCGCGGCTTCGAAAAGGTTCCCCTTGCCGTCGGTGAGACCAAGAAGGTCGGTTTCGAGCTGATGCGTCGTGATCTCAGCTACTGGGACGTTGTCTCGCAGCAGTGGCTCATCCCCAAGGGCGAGTTCACCCTCAGCCTCGGATGGAGCAGCAGAGACTTGAAGGCTACGGCCCAGATTACCCCTGTGCAGGCCTAAGACTTTTAGTTAATTGGCAGATGTTTTAGTGGAGGAATGATACGATGGACGAATTATGACTCTGGATAATATTAGTAATGTCTGGACAACAATAAAATAACCTTTTTCACGTTCAAACAAATCTGAATGCCAACATTGAGCGTCCCCACCCGCGCATTCGTAGCATTTTGGCATTTCACAATATATGACTATCAAATTGGGCAGTATAACAGGCCATCCCCAATATCTTTGAGCTCAATATTGATTATACCAACTGGGCCAACAAGACCGAATCCCGAATTCCAGGGTACGGCCCTTTCTAGATCTTCTATACTGAGGGACTACGGCCAAAGTTTGCGTCGCAGATCACCCATCCGCTGGCATTCTACGTTAGACACCTGCGTAAGCACCATACAGCAACAGCCTGCATATAGCGTGCTGTGCCGAGAGACAAAGTCTAGGACTTGCGAGACTGACCAGTCGTAAAGGTTATCTTCTCTTTAGAATACTTCCTTTTCGCGCGATTAGCGAATGAGCTTCGCTGATTTCCACGGCTGAGACGCAGCCAAGCTAGGGAGTGCATCCAGCTGAACAACCTAGTGAGATTCGGGTGATACAGATTCCAATCCCACGGGCTGAGCACATCCAAGTGCTCCCCCAAGGCCTGATAAAGACGCTGTCGACACTTCTTCCCATTTGCATAGCACCCGTCTCGAAGTCATTCTCCAATCCCTTCTTATGTGACTGTTCATCTTCCCGAGAATACAGATTCTGCATTTCTGAACTGTCCGGCGCCTTTCAGAAGAATCAACTAGTACCGAAATATGGCGGCAAATATTGATGGAGTTGGAGGCGCTGGCAACGTGAGCACTGAGAATGGACCAATACTGACTACGGAAGAGCAAGATGATCATGCTAATATTCACGGACAGTCACCGAACATCAACAAAGCCTTACAGAGACACATATCACTAGGGAAGCGAGCGCCGACAGAACCTATCCAGGAAAGGACCTGGAACTTTTACTTTTATGGACTATGTTCGTATGAGAATTTTCTCAGTCAACCAAATCAGTGCATCCGATCACAACGAGGATACACAAAGCGCGAAGGGCTTTTTTCTTCTGTCGAGATCACACAGGGAGGCGACTTTCCGTATCCAGCTAAATACCGACAATCAGCAAGTTGGGATGGAGGGCACGATGTCGAGACAGGGGGTGCTAACCCATCAGCCGGACACTTGCCCCGAGGAAATGCGTACCTGGGAGAGAAGCCGATAAAATTCCAAACTCGCCTGTTTGGCATATCTCGGGAATCTCTCACCGTTACGATAGCCCGAGCCTTACCGATCTATGTAGTTTTAGGCGTCTTCCCCAGCGGCCAACCCAACCCAGTCGAAAGGGTTATGTTCTGCCATGAGCCAAAACAATTGTTCCGAGAGCTTAAGAAAGAAATTCTTTGCCTACGCGGTTTCTGGAAGACCCTTTTTTCTCTCAGACATGTTAAAAGCTTTCGGCTTTACAAAGTCAGTTACCAAAAGCAGGAAACCCTATCTAATCCCCATCCCTAGCAGTCGACACCTAAGTGCGTTGTGTGACTTGTGTTGGAGATGTGGCTAAACATTTCTACAGTGTAATGCGCAAGAGGGGACTCATGAGCGTGTCGAACTTGATAATAATGGTGCTGCGGACTTGCAATTGCTCTTGCATACGTACAAGAAATGGCGGGTCCCTGAGCACATCGCAGTTGCCTGGGGAGACTGGCTTCACGAGGAACTCAACAGCGACTCACATGACGTACTCAAGGGGAAATTCTCACTTGAACTTGTGCTGGGCTGGTCCGTCGCCAGGATTGCCGTCGTGATTCTCATACCAGTTGTGCTAAGCCTCGCCATCGGACTCTGGTTCAACTCAAAGGGCTGGACGGACCCAACAACCATTCAGACCGCTTGGTCTATCGCATCCTACATTGTGACAGCAGGAGGTTGTAAGTATCCCATGTTCCGTATTGAAGGAGGTTCAAACAGAGCGCGCTGACTGACCGCTTCTAGTCGTTGCTGCTTTGCTTGGTATTATGAGCAGTCTTGCCGATAAATAGGCTTCAATTGCACACCACATCATGTCCGATACATTGCGAAAGACATCATCCCGGCTTACAGGATCTATATTAATAGTGTACTTGTATGGCTTTGATCATACCAAGGTACTGGAATTCGATACTATTGCTTGCTTCCCTTGCTAGTGGAATGTGATCGAATGCCTTTTATCTATCCGAGATATCGAATTTCAAACATCGATGGTGGGCCCGGAGTGCATTCCATCAGTCTCTTTTTCTCAATCTCATCAAGTACACCCGGGTGATGCATGTCTTGACTGTTTAGTACTCTAGCGGTGAACATGTTGATATGTTGTGGGGCGCAGGGCTAGACCAAACGAGACTGTGGCGTCGAACTTGAAAGCTGAAGCTTATCACCGTACTAAGGATGCTCGTTATCTGATGCGAGGCCGCGAACTTTTCAGCTCTCCACAATTTAGGTTAGGAACGTGTTCGAAATATGTAACACGGCCCAATTCGACTCAAGAGGGAAATACTGCGGCGGTGCGGCCAGCCCGAGACAAGCTGCGTTTACTAGTTCGACCTTCACGCTTAGCTACGAGGCAGCTAGAGTTCAGCTTCCCGAAATCTTATACCGGGATTAGACTTAGTTAAAAGAGATATCCTCAGCAAATGTCCCCGACTGGACTCTCCTTTGGAAATTCGTCCCGCAGCTTCGGGTAACCCGGCCTGCTTCACGGAAACCCTCCAATCGTCTCTTGCCAGGATACAGTTCTCAATGTTGCGAGGCGCGCAGACACGGAAACATCAGACGATGTCGTCACATCCACAATTTTTTGGACTTTCCGGCCAAGCAAACTGCCATCTTCGGCGCGGACTTCCCCACGCCCTTGGTAGTCTGGCGACTGATTGAAATAGCAGGTTGATTTCCACCTTCCAGCCAGCATCATGAGCATTGACAGTTTATATCCTTTGCGACATTTTGGTTTGGTAGGAAAGATCTGTCATACGACCGAGAACATGACAGTTGTTGGGAACAACGTCTTGGCTGAGAAGCCTTCGGGCGCTTCCGCTCCGGAACTTTACAGATCTGTGCCTAAGCGCAGGACTTTGGTAAGAAAACATCTCCGCTTGGACGTTGGGCAAAGCTCCCGTAAGCATTGTATTGATCCTTCTCAGGCACAAACCGCATCCTTTCATCTCAAGACTCTCTATCTATTTACTAGGAGCGATATCAAGACCGTACTAGCGCCTCAAATCATCTTCATCACAGCAGCTGTGTTCAGTCGGGAATCACTCACGACAGCAATCGATCAGACGAAATACTCCAATATTCAGAGACTACCCCTGGCAATCCTATGGATATGGCTCAACTTGATCGTGTGCGGTATCTCAAACCAGCGACTCGCGGACTCCATCGTCGAAGATGAGCATAACAAACCCTGGCGGCCACTGGCTGCGAAGCGGTTGACGCCCGCACAAGCACAACGACTTCTTCTCGGCATGATACCTCTCGTGGTTACAGTAAGCGCGCTTATGGGTGGATTCAAACCGACGATATCGATGATGACGCTTCTATGGATGTACAACGATCTCGACGGGAGCAGTATCAACATCTGGGCGCGCAACGCGATCAACACGGGCGGCATCATGTGTTTCAGTACTGGGGCTTTGGAGGTCATCTCCGGCGGTGATCTCCTTCCGAAGGCGTGGGCTTGGATCGGGGTGACCGGGGCCGTCATTGCCACTACAGTCCAAGCGTTGGACTTCCCAGATATGGAGGGAGATCAAGCTAGGGGTCGCAAGACCATTCCGCTGCTCTATGGCGAGGGCATTGCTCGGGGCGGGCTGGCTGTGATGGTCTTGCTGTGGTCTACTGCGTGTCCACTGTTCTGGAACCTCCAACCGGCGGCCTGGGCGGCTCCTATTGGAGTGGGAGCCTTAATGGCTGCATTGACTTTGGTGAGGCGGAATGAGAAGTCTGACGATATTGTAGCGAAGCTATGGTGTCTGTGGCTGGCTGTCTTATATGTCCTACCTCTTTTCGCAGCGTAAGGTAGATACAAGTGCTCAGCACAAGAGCATGTGTGTGTAGGAGAAGATATCGTAACCTCGACTTCCATAAACCGAGAATTATAAGCACCGGGCAGGATCGACTGGATGAAGTATGAGAGAAATGGCAACATGCTGAGCCAAGGCGAGCAATACGAAGACCTCCTAATTGTTTGGGAGGCATATGTCGCTGAATGCGTAGGAATACTACCTCAATAGACTGTCCTCATTCAACATCAACGAAGCGCATTGTGCGTACAGGCTATATCCAAGCCTATAGGATAGAGATTGATTCCTTTGTCATGGTAATATTCTTTGGTATTCATGGTATAGCGCGAAACTTGTCGTTCTGAGACTTGATCTTTCCTTGAGAATCTTAATCCCGAACTTGACGGCTCCTGATGCACACCCAAGATACCGCGTCTGTCATGCTTTCCAATGATCAATCATCCCTGTGGATTCCATGCTCAATACTCCTGAGCCTTCTCCGTCTCCTTCACTGACTCAATGCCAGGAACACGCCAGTCACAGCCGCAGGTACAGCCCCAGGAGGCATTCTCACAGTCGGTATGGCGCTGATCGTAGCGAAGCTTGCCGGAGCTGTCGCAGCGGTAGTTATAAGGGCGGTACTCGCACCAGAGCTTGCTGATAGGGCAGACGATGTCGCATTCGCGAGTCTGGAGGACAGTATCCTGGGCCTTGATATTGATGGTGTCGACTCCATCTCTGTCGTTGAGGTCCTGACGGATCTTGTGGGGGTTCATGCTGGGGCCGGCAGCGACGCCAATGGCAAGGGCGGTAGCACCAGTGAGAAGAACTGTGATTTACTGTCAGGCTTTCTTCATGATGGATACTTGAGTGGATTTGAACAAACTTACCTTGAAATCTCATTTTAGAGGCTGTGCTATCTGTTTCTTGGTTGTGATTGATGATGTGAATAGTGGAAGGAGATCTCCTCAACAGGCAATGGCGGTGGGAGGTGAGATATCGAAAAAAGGTAGGGAGGTCTGAAAGCTACTGATTCAACGTATAAATACTCGAAGAGTATTCTGTGAAGGTGTTCGAATGCAAAAAACTGTCTTGTATCTCCAACTGACCGCCTTCGCTGCCTGGAAAGTTGTGTTGACTGAGTAACGACATAGGTGGAAGGAGCAAACGACGGCCATCAAGTCCATATGCCTTTGTTCTTTCTTGAAAAAATCCACTTTGAGATGACCAAAAAATCTCATTAAGGCATATATGCGATGATGATCATGCTAGCTCAGCTACCATACTTTGTCCACATGTATATCACTTGTGTCACCATCGAAAACCCCTTACAATCAATCATCAGCACGAACTGAACTTTGGTACTACCCAAGGGAGTGCAGGAGAAGCACGTTGCCAAGTTGAAGTAGGTATAGAGATAACTTTTGGCAGCTTGAAGCTATTTTACTTAGGTAGTGACCGTTAGTTGGTTTGGCCAGAACAAGGTAGTTATCATGTGAGTTCTATGTCACGAGCGTCTTGAGGCACCTACCGATTTTGAACGGTGGATGAAATGATGGCATCTGAATCTGTCACACCAGCAAGAGATCTCAGCATTCTCTCTTTATCTGTGTTAGTAATAAATTGATGTTGGGCAGTGTTTGCCAGGTACATGCGGAGCCACATTAAACAAACACCCGCCATGGTGTACTACAAACAGTGACGCAGCTAGGACACCCGCACAATACTTCAACATGATCACCGTCCATACCTCTTCTACACCCTGCCTCAATAGTGTAGTTCGAAGCTTCAACACCTAAGCGTACTTCAAGTTGCTGATTCGCTGTTGCGCGTGCAAAGACAGTACCTCCGATCAACTAAGATACAATTGTCGTGTTCAATTTCTGCAAGTTATGTTCTGTCCGTTTCAATGCTAGATACTTTTTGCACCTCAAATAATGTTACAAGTGCCAGAAACAAATACACGCTATGTCCACTCTAATGCCCCGGTAGACCTATGTTCCACAAAACAAACCATCAACGCCTTTCGCCTCCAGACTTTTGTCTCTCAGCCTGACCAAGCCATGCAGTTTGCTCGTCTAACCGGCTGTAATGCGCATCAATTACCTCCTGGTTCAAGTAATTCAGCCTGTGACCACACCTCGTCCACTTGACGTCATGCGCCGTTGCTGAATCATCGCAGCATCCTCCCCAGCAGTCTCCGATACGGTCAATGACCGACTGGAACTTGGCCTTCTCACTCCTCCGGCTCCGGTCGATGATGTTGAGCATCGTCGGAATTGCGACCTCGTGGAACAGGTCCGCGCAACCGTAGACGGATGACAGAAAGATAAAGTCGGCAAAGAAACGTCGAGGAATGTAGAAAATGTCTGACCAGCCTACGCAAAACTCCTTTTCCTCGATCGTGTAGCCGCGGTTCATCCGGATAATTTCGCCGTTGACGGTGACGGCCTTCTCGTTCCACTTGTGGTACCAACCCCACCACTGCGGAAACTTCTGCCAGTCCGTCATACACATGTACCGCGGGCCGTCGCCCTCGAACTGCCGTGTGTTGTGAGATGTCGGGAACCAGATGGACTCGCGGTTCTCATCGACCCAAGCCATCGGGTCGATCCAGGAGTCGAAGTGGAAGTACATCAACCCTTCGATATCGGGTTGCTCGTCGAGTATGAGCTTCATCGTCCTGGCGACTTGCATGTAAATTGTTTCGTGGTGTGGGTACTGCGAGTGCGTGAGATTGTGCCAGTCTTCGGGCTTATCCTCGACCATCTCCGGCATGGAGATGTGGACGGTGTGGTAAAAGGGCTTGTATTTCATGAGGAGAGGCACGCGCTCCATGCGCTTCGCATTCCAGCGAATCATTGCGAGCGTGTTGCTAAAGGGTGAGGCAGTGAGGTTGCCAGGACCTGTCGAGATCTTGTACGGTTCTTGCTTGTCCGTGAAGGGTGTGATGATTTCGGCCGGGGGTGTCGAGCAGTGTCCGTCGGTGTCATCTCTCATCACGAGTCGGTACTCGGGGGTATGCGGGAGTTCGGAAAGTGTTGCATAGGGGATGATGCCTGCGCCGAGAAAGCTGGCAAGGGTAAGAAGACCGAACTTTGCTTTCTGCAATAGCGTTAGTATGCCTTGATCACAGTACTCCATTGAGATGACCGACCTTGTAGGATGGAGGCGGCGCAAAAGAGTTCGGCATGTCATCCACTGGAGACGAACTAATGTACTCTTTCAGGGGAGCATACTTCATGTATGCCAGCGAAGCGATGAAAATGAGCACTGTGCCGGGTATGAGGAACATGCTGTATCGAGACAAGAAGAAGTGCGCGGACACAAGCATCAACACAATACTTGTGGTGTCGTTGATGAACCATCTCACCCATGAGTCGACCCCTGCAGAACGTCAGCAATCTTCTTCGAGAACCCCAAGTGGGACGGTGTCTAAAACGTACTTTTCTGTGCAACCGTAGTAATCAGAGCTACAAGTGTGGTCATGAACACCACTGACAAGCCCTTGCTGTCGTAGCCGCCGAAGAAAGTGGGTTCGAAGGAGCTGTATAGTCGCACAAGTGCATGCACGAGCAGGTTGAGCATCGCACCGAAAGCTCCCAAGACAATGTTTGCGCCGTTCGAGCTCAACTCGGTAGCCTTCAAAAGCTTCTCGCTGTGGATGTCGGATAAGGCACTGAAGCTGGCCTGGCCGACAATGCTGACGTAGAGGGGAAGCTGGTATGTCGATGCCCTCGTGCGATGTTGTGGGTAGAACTGGGACAGTACCAGACCCGACGTCTACTCCTGTTTAGCAGCTGAATTGGAGTATCAGAAGCTACGCGAATGACCTACCTGGATCAAGAAAGCCATCCATCGGGTCTTGGGGCCCTTCAGTCCAAGAGCGGGCGTCGTGACTAGAGCTGCTGCGACCATGATGCCGCTCTTCGTGATGGAGACGGTGCCTGGATCGCTGACCAAATAGTTGAGAAACAACTTGAGAAAGAAATGTTAGCTTTTGCCTCATCTAATGTTGCGCCAGCGCCAAGTGCCAAGCGCTTTGACGTCGCATACCAAGTTGTTGCTGAGCATTTGCAGTAAAGCAATCCTCATCAGTCCGAATCTCAAGTCCGCGTCTCCCCAGACATAACACCAGAGTGCCCTCGCGCCTCCAATGCGGGGAGCTTGTCGCGATAGCTTCTCCGCAGCGTACTCGCCAGATGACCGTCCGTCCTCATCAGCGCCAAGATCCAAGTCCTCCGATCCGTTGCCCAGCGAAGAGTACTCGGTGTTGGTATTTCGTCGGCGAATCTCGCGTTTCAAAAGCAAAGTCGCAATCAAGAACCTCAGAAATTCGGATATCGTTAAACTCGAAGATGGCGAAAAGTTGAACTGCCCTCGCTCGCGGGAATTCCAGAGATTGACCGCCGCGCCGACCTGGAGGAGCACCAGCCCGAGCGCGGCGAGACACGGGACCAGCCCGGCGCCACCGGATCCGGCTACCGCCAGCATTCGGCGGAAGATGGACCGGTTTACGGCCATGGCGAAAGAAGAAAGAAAAAAGGAGTGTAAGGCGGCGGCGCGAGTTCGTCTCGATCGCTTTCCGTTGTGTTTTCTACCAGTTTTGACGAGAAATCATGATTTCGCAACCACCGCGAGTCGAAAAGAAGAGGACAGAACGCTTGGCCCTTTTTCCTCGCTGCGAAAATACGAGTCGTGGCGGGGGCGATCAGCGTCGCAAAAAAGGTCCCCTCGGCCTCCAGACAATAGCAGGGCTGTTCGCACGGAATCTGCTGGGGGCCAGGTTAAAACCGGGGACTTGACAGGGGACGAGAATCGAAATCGAGCTTGAATTCCCCAATCTGACCACGCCGCGGACGCCCCAGTACGAGATCGTCAGCGTTCAGCTTCGGTTGCGTGGAGCGAGTACGGATGTGGACGGCTCTCGAAAAAGGGGGGGGTGGTGTTCGTCAGTCAGCGCGGGTGACTTCGATGTCGCGAATAGTATCATTGAAGAACACGAAAGCTGGCAA